CTTCTCTTTCTTTCTTTTGCTGGCCCTGGAACTGTGGTCCCTTCCCTATCCCCACCTCAGCTCAAACAGGATTTCTGGGGAGTTTCCTGAGGATCATCTGCTCAGATGTATTGGGTCAGGGCCACCCTTCTTTCTGCTCCCCTCTGTTGGAGCACAGACTCACCTTATTGGCGAGAGGCATGTTATGACTATGTAGTCACAGACTGCATACAATTTTCCTGTCCTTTTCGTGGTGGGTTCATGCCTAGGGCAGGGCAACCTCCATACTCCACCACTGGCTGAATGGAATAGATTTTTTTTGGCTCCTGTCAGATCCCTTTTATTTAGCAGATCCCCTTAGTGGCTTAAAACAATCATTGTTTTATTCTGTTGTGTAATTCTGGGCTTAGGAATTCCAGCAAGTCTTGGCAGGGTGACTCTTCTCTTCCATGTGACATTGATAGAAGTTGCTGGATGGTATGCAGCTGACAGGGAGACTGATCAAGAGGGTCCAGGCCGGCTTCAGTCACGTGTCTGATGCCTCAATAGGAATATCTACCAGGCTGGCTCAACCAGAACCATGCACCATGGTGCTCCCATGTGACCTCTCCAGCATAGTGGCCTCAGACTTCTTACGAGATAGCTCAGAGCACCGTGAGCCCAAGTTCCTGAGAAGGAGGCAGAAGCCCCAAGGCCTTTTTGAGTCAGGCTGGGAAGTCACCCAGTGTCACTTCCATCATCATTTATTGGCTAAAACAGCCCCCGACCTGCCCAGATTCAAGGGGAGAGGCAGTAAAACCCACTTCTAGAAGGGAAGGGTTGCAAAAAAATCTGTGGTCACATTTTAGAACTGCCACAGTGTTCGCCTTTGATCAGTTCCTGCTTGCATGGGGAAAAGCACTCTCATCGTGACTTGGCAAGAAGGCCTACTCAGTGTGCAGGCTCCTCATGTCTGGTTTTTGAGGACAAAGGGAATCACATGTTTTGGGGGCAGTAGAGAGGATAGCTATTTAAAGTTACATGGTAGAGAGAAAAAAAAGTGACTGAGTGCTTGGGCTGCCCAGCATGCAGCGTTTCGTAAGAGCCAGCCTATCCCAAATGCCTCCACAGAGTGTAAGACAGGGAAGTGTCTGGGAGGGACTCTTGCAACGTTTGCCCTAGACGTCCCAGGAGAAATTTTGGTGCCTCCCATCATCCTGCACTTCTCTGCCACGGTCCTCTTTACCTTGGTAATGATGGGTTCGGTGTCTCCCTTTCCCCATAAAAACGTGATGAAAAAAACTTGTTTTCCTCACCAGCATACCCTCGGCGCCGTGCCTCGCATGCAAAATATAGTAGATACACAATAAATAGATTTCATGGGCTAATTATCTGACGGTGATAGAGAATATGAGAACACTACTACATAACAACGAAAAAAAGGGATGACAGGCTATAAGGCCTGTCTATTTGGCATCTGAGGTTGAAAATTTTTTTTTTTTAATTTTTTAAGATTATTTATTTTTTGGTCAGACAGAGAGAGCAGTAGCACGGGGAGGGGCAGGCAGAGGGAGAAGCAGGCTCCCCACTGAGCAGGGAGACCGATGCGGGGCTCAATCTCAGAATCCTGGGATCATGACCCAAGCTGAAGGCAGACGCTTAACGACTGAGCCACCCAGATTTCCTAGAGGTGGAGCATTTAAAACAGGGATAGTTTCCCGGTGGGTCCAACCAGATCACTCCAATTCTTAAGACATAAGGTAACATCCACACACCTGGCACTTACTAACAGCTTTGTTTATTATTTAGTTGATTATTCCATGTTTTTATAATCGTACAATAATTCTCTTTGAAACAATACTGTTACACCTGAAGTTGGTCACATTTTATCTGTTCTTCCTTCTATAGTAGTAAAGTGGGGTTTTTTTCACACTCAGTTTTTTAATAGAACATTTGAATATCAAGAAGTGTGCTTAACTGAAAGTAACAAACGGTCCAAACTCTGTGGAAAATGATCACACACTCAGTTAAAGGTCTAATGCTATTCCAGGGGTCATATACATTCAAGAGGAAACACCATGGTCTTGTGGGGAGCCCAGAACTGGGGGTTTGTGGTGAGTATAAGTGACTCCCTAAGACCTGTTTGACAGCTTGGCAATTTGAGGTTTAATATTGGTCCAGTACTGTCACACTTTCTAGTCAGGATGGGTCCCTCCAGGCAAGCTTTGGGAAATGTCATCGGGGTGGGATTGATGGTGTCTTCCCCGGGCCAAATCCTGTAGTTAAATCCTCGGGGGAACTTAAAAGACTGTCTCCTGCTCCATTCATATGGGCCTTACTTTTCACCTGAGAGTAGATGGGACCCAGCCATAGAGGCTGCGTGTAGAGTGTGCGTGTAATATATGTGGATAGTGCAGTTATGTGTAATGTGTGTACATTCAGTGTGTGATAGTGTATGTGAAGTGTGTATAATGTATGTGTATATGTGTGAGAGTAATGTATGTGCACAATGTGTGTGTTGTGTGTGTAGCGTGTGTATATATAGTGCGTGTAATGTGTGTGTATAAGGTATGTGTGTTATGTAATGTAGGTGTATAGTGTGTGTTGTATGTGTATACAGTGTGTGTATAATGTATGTGTGCTGTGTGTGTAATATGTGTTGTGTGCAGTGTGTATATAATGTGTGTATGCCGTGCATGTCTACACTGTGTGTGTGTTGTGTATAATGCAGGTATGTGTAATGTATATATACAGTGTGTGTGTAGTGTGTAGTATGTGCAAGCACATGTGCCACGAGGGGGACACCAGGGGACACAGCAGGAGGAAGAGGGTCATGGAGAAGGAAGGGATGAAGGAGGAAGGGTGGGACTGGAGAAGAAAACGAAAAAAACAATGAAAAGCTGGAGGGGCTTGGGGGAGAGAATGCGCCTCCTTTATATTAATAAAACAGAAGGAGGGGATGGAGTAGGGTGACACTCCCCGTCCTCTCTCAGCAGCCCATTGGCTCCCGTCTCCTCCACCATGAGCAGGACAGCAGCACAGCCCGGGACTCCCACCATGCTGCATCGAGCCCGTTTGTGGGCAGACCTGAATACGGGGGGCAGGACAGTGGCAACAGCAAGGACAGCTCTCCCCTCGGCCTTGTCTGCTGGCTGGGCTCCAGCGGCCTGTGGCACCGTCCTCTCTGGGGATGGTCAGGGATGTCCCTTTAGGCATTTTACCGGAGGCCCTGCCCTGACCACGGGTGGGATGGCCGAGGTTTCTGCTAGCCTTCGCTCCGAAAGTGGAGGCGTTTCTGAGGCAGGTACCTTCTAGAATGGCAGACAAATCTTTCCAGCTTTTTGTGGAAAGTTGTGGGGTAGAGAGCAGGGCAGCCGGCAGTCTCCCTGCAGGCTCCCTCCCGGGCCCCAGGGGAGGGCTCCCACCGAAGACTGGTGAGCCCAAAGGGTGCTCCCAGCTGCAAGGTTAAGGGCGCACCGTGGACACATCTGCCCCGGGCGGCGGGGCGCAGGGAGAGCTGTGTGGGCAGGTCTGTGTGGAGCTGATGGATGGGACAGCGCGTGCCACAGGCAAACTGGCCCAGGGCTGAGAGTGGCAGAGGGAACAGCCTGCACCCAGGCAGTGCTTAAGGAGACTTCTGGGGCAAGTTGTCTGACCGCTCTTTGCCTCCACCTCCCCGTCACTGCAGTGGAGACAAGAAGAGGCCTTCCTTGGTGATGGGGCTGGGAGGGGAGGCGGGGGCTGTGTCATGAGGATTCAGTGACATGTGAGGTCCTCAGAGCAGCATCTGGTCCACAGTGAGCCCTTCAGAATGTGATCTGTCATTACTACTTGGAAAAAAATCCATAGCGTTCAATGTAGATCCATATCTCTTTCCTGACCTTTCTCTTGTGTTTCCAAAGGAGGAGCCCTGGTCAAAGGCAGGGTGGCTGAAGGTGTGTGTTCAGGCCGCTGAGGTGTGTGGGGACAGCTAAGGTCACTGGTGGGCCATGTGGCCCTCAAAGCTCTTGCAGGAAGGCTGGGCCGCCACTTAGGGCCGTGGCAGCAACACTAGGGTCGTGGGGTGGAAGCGAGGGCTGGGCCTCTACTCGCCGTCTGGGGGCTCACCTACAGAACCTCTGCTGGCCTGGCAGCTAGGTAGGAAGAGAAGATAGCGGCATTCTCCCATGGATGGCCATCCAGAGAGAGGACCTGCAAAACTAGCAAAATAATTAAGCAAACTGAGGAAGGGAGAAACAGACATTAGGTTTTTTGTGATCAGTAATCGCTTTTGTTCATGGAAATACTGGCGTGGGGGTGTCAGCACCTCCTGGTCCAGAGCAGGCGTTGTCTGGGGTGAGAGACGCGGGCGCTAAGAGAATGCAGGCATGTGATGCACACTGGTGGTCTGGAGAAGTTCATCCTGGAGGCACAGGAGCTGTTAGACAATCAACCCTACTTCTTCTCCAGAATGGGTTGCTAACTAGTCTCCCGGGTAGACTCTTTTGAAGGTACATTTGACAGGTAGCGTTTTGTTGCTTCTTAAAGATCTCATACTGTTTGGAGGAGAGGCAGAGATCTGCCAGAGGGAGATTTCATCCCAATCCCATCTTAAAATGGGTGAGGACCTAAAAATCCCAAAGGCCTGCTGGTACCCGTATTGGAGGCTCAGTTCACCTATGAGGTGTGACTCGAGCAACAAGAAGGCCTGGGGGGAAACACATGGCCTCCATAGAGGCCACCCTCCCAATTTTCCCATTGTTGTCTTTCTCTGTGAGCTGAGCTTAGGCTCCCAGAGTAAAAAGCTTCTTGATAAATGCCTATGGCTGGGGCCTGGGCCAGTCGGGTGAATTTCTGGCCTCATTTCTGTCCCCAGCTGTAATGGACTCAGGGACTCAGCGAGCCCAGGGTGCCTTAACCTGGTAGACCTTTCAAGGGGAGCATGGCAGAATCTTGAGAATTGTGATGAACCTCTTGGGAAAAAAAAATAAATAAATGAAACAAATGAACTACAAAACAAGCCCCAAAGTAATCCCCGAAAGAGGAATGACACTGCATGAGGCTGCTGGTTCGCAGGTCTACTGATCATGCAGATGGAGAACATCATACCGAAGAAGTTCTACAGGGAGCAAGGATCAATTTCTCCCTGGTTTAGATATTGCCTCTCCCTGGTTTAGAGGTTTTAATGTTCCATTAAAAAATATTAAAAATCCACAGACCAACCCAGATGTTCCTCTCCTCTCTTCCTGCTTCCTTTTGGCAGCCACCAGCTGGCATCGTGGTGCTAGATGTCTTTGCTGTCCCCATAGTCGTTGTAAGGGACACTCAGGGTTTGCTCCTCGCATGTCTTCCTGAGGTCCCGGCTGAGCTCTGACCAGTCAAGTCCATAGGGCTTGATCTCGCTGTAGCGGCAGCCCAGGTACTTAAGGGAGCCACGTCGCAAGCTTATCTTGGGTTCCTGAAGGAGGCCATTGCACCAACTGCTGAGATCCCCCAGCTGGGAAAGGATGAGGCCAGCTTTCCTACGGATGGAGCATGGAGGATACTTAGATTAGAAAGAAGAGAAGGTGGGGAAGGGCAAATAGGCACTGTTAGAGTGAGACTTAAAACTCCCAGAGGGCAGAGTCTGGTGTGTCCTGCTTCCTGTTCAATCATGGGCACTCAGAACGCGGGGTGGGGACGGTCTTCCATAAATATCTGTCTAGCAGATGGATGCATGGATGGATGCATGGATGGATGGACGGGTGGATGCACGGGTGGATGGATGGATGGATGGATGGATAGACGATGGATGGATGGGTGGATGGATGGATAGACGATGGATGTGGGTAGATGGATGAAAGAACAGTCTGGCTGTATAAAAGGGGCAGGCAGCAAAACAAAAGAGAAATAAAATGCCATAAGGAAAAATAAAGGAAAAGAACTACTATTTTAGTGGGAATTTATGCCCTTTTAAAATCATAGAGTTGGCGGTTTTGAAAGACAAATCAAATCCGTTTTCTTTACAGCCGGCAATTTACCATCGCTAAACGACAAATGTGTTTGAGTGAACATTTCCCTTTTCAAGGCTATTTTAGAACTAAGCAGAAACAGCTGATATACTGAACTTCGGTGGGTATCAAATGTAACTAATTATGCCCGGATGGAGGGCGTGACAGTGAAATACGAGTGAAGACAACAGTGCCCTTGGTGCACACTGACACAGCCCCCCACCCCCGGGGAAATGCAGACTCTCTGAGGCACACGGGACCTAATTAGTGTGCAGGTGTGCTCCCGCTCCACTCCGCCTTCTCCCTTGGAAAGCCGGGAGGCCACCGCCATGGAGACCCAGTACAGAGAGGGGGAAGAGGAGGGCTGTCGCAGATCACCGGGGAGGAAAAGGAGTGGAGGAGACCGAGGTTGCTCCAAGTTCGCACACCCTGGAGCGCAGGGATCCCTCCGGGCCAGTGCGAGAGCCTGGTGGCCTCTGCCTGCAGCCTGGGGAGGGAGGCTGTCACCACAATCGTCTCGCTGGTGCACAGCCTTCTTCCCCGTGCCCCTGCCAGTGAGAGACACAGGGGCTACTGTCAGCCAGCTGTCAGACCTCACCAGCTCCGCAGCGTTCCCTCACCCAGTTCTGTTCCTCCTGTTCTTTGAACCCCGAAGTGCCCAGAGACCCACAAAGTTTCTCTTCTTTGAAAGAGCTCCCTCCCGTAAAATGCCGTTCTGAAAAGCTCAGCGATCAGCGACCCTTACAGGATTTACCAGCTGCTCGGCTAACTTCTCATGGGAAGAACCAATGCTTTTCTAATTCGGTCACCAATTCTTTCCAGAAAATGGAAGTTTCTGCACTTCAGTGAGAATGACCTTTCAAAGAACAATAAGCACATTCGTTTCATTCCTCCCCTTCTGTCTGGCTGTGACCACCACATACATTCCTGGGAGGACGAGCTGAGAGGGGCGGAGAGGAAGCTGGAGGGAAGGTGTGGAGATCCAGCAGCGGCGTCCAGCGACGGAGAGAACGCGAGTTCATCGGAGGGCAGTCGTATTTTCTCCCACTTCAGTGGTGGGTCAGAGGAAGTCCAACACTCCGCCTGCCACCTACGTAGCATCTCCTGCAGATGGCCTCTCCTCCGTCTATTGGCCTCTGCGGTTGGGCCAAGCAGGCTTCCAAAAGTCCTCATCAATGGGACTTTGGTGGCCCTTCCTCTTAATTTATCCCACTACATGTCATTAGTTGTTGACAAATTCTTGGAAGGTGGAGGGAGAGGAAGTGAAGGGAGAATGAAGGCAGCATGAACATCATCCTCAGGACAAGGACATGGAAAAAGAAAGGATTTGATTAGCTCATGGAGATCTTGTGGCTACTTCCATAGGTCAATTTAAAAAAAAAAAATTATTTGGGTCTGCCCTTGATCATCTCAGAGCCTGTGGATTTCTTCTTTCTTAGCAGCAAGGCAACCAATGCTGTTGTCAAAGTAGTTCCACCCACAAGTCAATCTGGAGGCCTCTGTGAAAGTTAAGGGAAGGGATTTAACTGAACTGAGGGGGTCGTTTCTGCCTGCTCACAGGGAGTGTGTGGTCCACAGACCCTCTTCTGTTCACACTCACGACCAACTCCAAAGATGATGGATGCATCTCAAGGCAGAAGGCTTTTCCTTTTCGGTGGTTCTCCCCATGACACCGGAGAGCAAATCTTGATTTCCAGAAGCTAATGAAATTACACAGTGTCTTCCAATACAGAGCCTTGAAAAACCAGCACCACACATGAAAGGGTTTCCAGGGAGGAGAGTCTGGGAAGAGAATGTCAAGTCAGCAGCATGCCTAACTTTACAGGGGGAGCCACACTTCTTCCCCTGCTCACTTGCTTTATTAACCAATTTTCCTTCCGACTCTTGAGTTACAAGAGAGAAATTTTAAAAGCAATCCTAATGCCCTTGGAAATCAAGATGATATATGCAATGTTAGTGCTATTCAAATTGTGACAATTATGTTCCCTAACCAAGAACTGTATATATATATATATATATATATATATATATATATATTCAATAAATGTCAGAAGGAGGGAGGAAAGGGTGGGGAGCAGAGAGGAGGGAAGAAACAGAGTGAAGTGGGAGGGGGAAGGCAGCTTGGGAGAGAAGTAGAGAGAGGGGATAACAGTAAGCATAAGTAATTATGAGGGCAGGAGTAATAAGGTAGGGAGCAGAGAGGACATATCTTAATCCGTATCTACTTTCTAACTCAGGGTTTGATTTCTTCTGAAACTGAGACAAAGCCAATGAGAAGTCCCTTACATACTTCCCTCTGTGTTCTGGTCCACAGCCGTGGCATCTGTTTTCCCGAGGACTATCAACTTTTATAATAACTGCAGGAAATAATCTATGGAATGCAGAAAGATTCTTCCTAAACTTACACATGAAATCACTGTGTCTCAGAAGATCATTTTGAGTTTCTTCCTTCTCTTAAAAGTAAGAGAATAGGAGGGAATGTCCGAACAGTGGTCTTTTGGAGAGTTTATAACTTCAGGTCACGAGAAGCACACTGACACTTGGTTTCCCTCCAGTTCGATCAGCGGTCAGATAGATGGGACAACATTTGGGTGATGTTTTCGTGCAGCATCTTGGCAGGAATGCAAGAATTCTTTAAGTGCCAGAGAATTCCATTCCATTGAGTGGACTGTCTTCATTTGTTTTCCATTTGTTTTTTTTTTTCCTTAAAAAGAGTCAATGAGCCACCCCCTTTTTATCCCTTATGAACCCCTAAATAGTTCAAGGACATACAGGTACCAACATTCCATGCAAGCCTCTTTCACTGAATCTGATAATTCCAGTATTTCCACCAAAATCTGTTTTTCTCAGATCAGGAGTATGTAGCCATGATGAATGGAACAAAAGGAAGGTGGTTATCTGTACACGTTCTTCCAATTTCTCTCTTTCTAAGAATGCTGTGTTGCAGAACCTAAAAGCAGTGGGTATTGAGTATTGAAAAGTCGTGGCCTCGGGGCCAGGGGATGCTGGCAAACACTATACTGTCCTAAATTTGGCCAACAAAGATGTCAGGTGGGTCTTGGCTACCTCCACGTTGTCTTTCCAGAGGATGTGCAATTGAGCTGAAAATACGTCTGTAAAATGCATATTGTATATGCAAAGCTCATACGTAATAAATACTTTTGTATAACTTCTTCAATAAAATTCCTAATTTTCTTTCACAAAGCGAGGAGGCTTCCAGCTTCTACCGTTTTTAGCATTTGGAATGTTATGTCAGCGTGATAAAGAGGTGGCTGAAACGGGTCAAGGGCAAAGATTTTTTTCAGAGTTCAGGAAATGTATTCATGACTTCCCTACTTAAATACAGCTTACCCAAAACTAATCGCTATGAACTGAGCTCTATAAAAGCACAGGACTTATTTCTCTGAGCTCCTAAGTTCACCCAGGAAATCTCTGTGAATCCATGGGTGCAGGAGGACAGGTACAGAATTTCAAAGAGCTGAGGTGGTTGTAAGCGGTAATGGAGTTTCTTGGTTACCTGGGACCTAATTCGTCCTCACACCGCCAGGTGAATTCTCCAAAACTCTCATAGTGCTGGTTATAGTGGTAGAGGACTCGATGTAGGGTGGGGGAGCCCAGGTCCAGGAGGGTGTTATAGGCCGTCTGCTGCTCCTTCCCACTGGTGTAGCCATTGAAGAGATTGTAGATCTTATCTGCTATTTCTGAGGAGGGCAGAAAAGGCAAATAAAGAACATTTTAAATGCACGTATGTAGCCACACAACATACATGTGTGCATGTGTATGGAGACATGTGTCTACCTGTATTTACACATATACGTGTGGGTGCGTGTGATGTGTGTCTTAAAGAATAAGAACCTGGAGCCCGGAGACCGTGGTTTGAGTAATTCACTTTTATCTCAGCCCCGTCGGGTATTGCTCTCTTTTCTAAAAAAATGAAAACCTTCAACTAGAATATCTCAAGTCAACTTCAGTTATAATATTCTTTGTCTTTACCCATGTTTCCTGAAAATACAGTACCTGCAGCAAAAAAAAAAAAAAAATCTCAGATGAATACTTTACTGGCAAGTGCGGTCCCCGGAGAAGCTGGGGGGAGGAGAGAAGGAAATGAGGCCAGAGAGGAGTCTGAGGGAATGTAGGGGGCGTGCTAAGAAGCAGGTGGTGCGCTTTGCGGGAGAGGAAGCTGCTGGATCCCCGCTGGTCTGTCCAGGGGGAGAAAGGAAGACTCTACCGTCAGCTCCCATCTCTGATGGCTCCATGGGGACGTCTCACATTCGCCCCCATGAAGCATTAGCTCCCCTGCACTTCCAGGTTATATATGCTGGGGTACCAAGTAGGTCCTGCAAAAGCACAGGGTAGCCCAGGGGGACTGAAATTTGACTCAGGGATGGAGGGAAGCACTGTCCGGGGAAGCTTGAGCCACGTGAAGAACCAGGAGTGGCCCCCATGACTGCAGGCTGGCAGAGCCTTTGCTAGGGCTGCCCGGACCAGATACAAAGACAAGCTCACAGCTGTGTGTGACACAGAGGCAGAACCCGGTACATCCTGCAACTCCAAATGAGTAATCTTTCAGTTTAATTTATAACTCTTAGCTTTCTCCTCCAAGGCATACATTGCTCATGCAAACTTGGTCAAGTGGCAAAGTGGCAATGAATGTGGATAGCCTTGGCATTTTTTTCCTACAGAGCTTGAAGTCCTTTATCATTAAATATTTTTGTATTAAACCTGTCAGAAAGGAGATTTGTTCACATTCCCTTCTCAACAGCTGGGAACTGAGATCTGGAGAGCAGAACTCTGTCTCCGATCCGGTGTTAAATCTGGGAATGAAGAAACTAAGTCTACGGGTTTCCAAGCGAGCACTTTGCCCACTTGACCCCCTGTCAGCCAAAAGGCATAGCAACCTGATTCCATGTCACAATTCCAAGTGAATTTTGGGCTGTTGGTAATGACATAGTCATCATTGTAGGGGTTTTCTGGGTTGGAAGGAAGAAAATTTCTACCCCTACCTACTCTGTCCAGACACTGCAATGATTTCCTTATTTTTCTTTCTAGCCCATTGCCTACGAGGACAGGCGCCAGATCTTACTTCCATGTCCTGAGTGGCTAGCACAGGGCCAAACAACAGAGCAGGTTAAAAGAAGTGTTAATTAAATTAATGTAATTTATGATCTTTCCAGTGATCTCTCTCCACCCCAGGCTATACCAATCCTTTAGCAACCAAACTCTCATAGCCAGCACCTTAACTGCATTATAAATAACTTCGGTCCAGAAATCCATTCAGATTTGCAGGATTTTTATTTTATTTTTAAAGATTTTATTTATTTATTTGTCAGAGACAGAGGGAGAGAGAGCGAGCGAGCACAGGCAGACAGAGGCAGAGGGAGAAGCAGGCTCCCTGCTGAGCAAGGAGCCCGATGTGGGACTCAATCCCAGGACGCTGGGATCATGACCTGAGCCGAAGGCAGCCGCTTAACCAACTGAGCCACCCAGGCGTCCCTAGATTTGCAGGATT